CTAAAGGCCGCGATGATGATGATGTCATAAATATATATATATATTATATATTCTACCACATACACACAACGCCATGTAGTCCCAAACTAAGCAGAGCTTATACTATGGGTACTAGACAACTGATATAAATACATATTTACTTTTTTTTTTGTAAATACATACATATTATACATAGAAACACCCAGACCAAATCAAACATCAAATGTTCATGCACACAAATGTTTGACTTGAGCGGGAATCGAATCCGCGACCTTTGGAATAGCAGTCCGTTACACAAACCACTACGCCCTCCAGTCGTCAAAATATTACACATGTTGTATTTAATGTATAAACATAATAGGTTCTACTGCACTAAATACCTTAATAAATTCAAATTACCATCAGCGAAGAACAGATATAACATTTATAGCTTACCATGGCCACTGCCCCAATTTCATTTACTCCATAACACGTCATAAAACGGTAACATCGGACTGGCATTCATATCACATTGTATTATTATACATATATATATTTCAGAGAGATATTTCGGGTATCGTATACTAAATATAATATATATTATACATACGAGTAACATTTACTCCTATTATATATTAGGTGTACAAGATTTCTATGCTTATTGTCAGCTTACGAAAGTAGCTGACATAAAAGTTATCGGAAATTAATGTTTGACGGATCTGCCATTTTTTGCTCAAATAGTTAGTAGTTATTTATCTGCTATCTTTTTACAAATCATTATACACATAAATAAAACAGTATTTTTGGTGTGGTATAGTAACTGTGACTTGATGCAATATGAATTAGGGAATGGGTATTCTAATTACTTGATCGGTCCGATGCGATAGTAATGTCATAAATTTAAAAGCTACCTTTTTTACTTCGAAAATTAAGTTGCGATTCTGTACAGATTTTATAGAAACGCTTTTTAAAGTATCCCTAATTGTGTAAGATAATAATTTATTAATGGGACATGTATATCCCATTAATTAATCTTGCACAATTTGGGGTCTTTATCTTATATAATGTAGGGATCTGATGTTTAATTTCATGAATATTCTTGTAATTTGTAAGATTCGAAATTGCGCCAATTGGTAATGTTTTCGCCTCGTGGTCAAAGTTTGCGTTATTTTATTTTAGAATTTGGAGTAAATGCACATAGGGGTCGCGTGATGGTAAGTGACCACCATAACCCGTAGCTAAATGTTACTCAAGAGCGACAAATGCGTTGACCCTTTGAATGACCTGTCCCTCCCCCCTCCCCAAATTAAGAGGCTCAGGGGAAGAGCTGGTTGGCCTCCAATGACCTCACTTAATCGGTGTAAAACACCAAAGAATTCCGGTCGTTAACATGTGCCGAAGTACGACTTGACCATGGTGGAATGCGCTGATGTATTCAAACAGTGAGACTTCCTTTTATCCTAAATATTCTTCCCAATCTTGCGCTGTTTATAAAAGGAAACATCTGAAAACCGATTCCATTAGGTTCTATTTGCCGGTTAAGATCCATAAGCTTTTTCCAAGATGCCTCACGAATCGTAAACTCAATATATTGTAACAACCTCTCGAATACCCCTGGAGAAGTTACAACACTATTACTACTGTAAGGTATAGTTAAAACGCTTTCGCTTAATAGCTCCTTCAAAGCTTTTCCATTGCGTTCGATTGCTGAAAAAAGCTGGCAATCGATTCTGAACAAATTTCCGCTGTCCGATTAATCGTGATCCAATGACGACACGCTTCCATAGTCAGTTAAGGTATAGGTAAAGCGATTAGGGTAACGCTTTCAAATTAAAAAGTTATATTGAACTGTTTATTTAGACTTTTAATTTCCATCGCATTTATATTTGTAACTAGCTTTTGCCTGCGGCTCCGCCCGCGTATATATCGGCTATCGCGATAAAAAGTGGCCTATGTCTTTCCTCAAGAATCAAATTACCTCATGTTACATTTATTAAATTACACTTTCTAGATGGTCCAATGAATAAGTAAAATCAGCGATGGTCCCCGCGACACAGGATATTCCTAATGCGGGAGTTGTCTTTTCTGTCAGGGTCAAAATGCACCAAAACACCTAGGGATTCAGCCAAGATTGGACTTTTTTACATAGTATAAAATGAAGATCTTTTGAAATATACAACGAAATTTAATCCCGGTTTCACCAATAAAAAGAGTGATTCATGAGGCGGGTTTATATGTATAATACATGCATATTATGGCGGAGGAAATCCGATAATTTCAAAGATTTGTAATGGAAAGTTTCAAAAAATCTAATCTGGCTAATCTTACGAGGCAGATGCAAAACAATGTACCTACTATGGAATTGCATACTCGTATCTTAAAAAGATGTACAAAAACGTCCGTGATGGTATATATCTATCTCTTAAGGATAACCCACAGTAACCATTTTTATCTTTTACACATTTTAAAAAAACAATGGGTAATTTACGAATATATTTTAAGCAATACAGTCATCATCAACAGCCTTTAATAGTCCACTGCTGGACATAAGCCTCTCCTTAGAAAGGAGGTATTGGCCTACTATACCACGCTGGCCAAACGGGTTGGTATAGGGTTTGTGTCAAATTTTCCTTCTCTCTTCCTTTCCTTTCGTCGGCTCTTACGACACCCACGGGATGAATAGGGGTGGTGACACTCTGTATTCTTAATCCGTCACGACACGGCCACCAAGCAATACAGTATTATTCCTTATCTACATAAATACGTTTGAGACGTTGTGCATTTATTGTAGATCAAAATTGCCTTTAACAACATATCATTTAAAAGAATATCTTAGCAGATATCACAGATTTAAAATCCGGGCAAAGCAGCTGTCGCCACCTCGGGCTATGTGGCACCGGCCAGTAGGAGCGGAGCGGGCCTATAAATATTTTATTTAAGATGTCCTGTAGTATGGTCATATCATAATAATAGTATAATTAATTACTCCACACTTACACCACATTATTAGTATTTACATTGCACTCGTGCGAAGCTAGTACATTTGCTACTACATAATATCTCTTAAAGTGACCCCCGCTTTAATGTACTCTACAAATAGTTATTATGTTCACAAGCAATGCCCAATTTATGTGTAGGGAACACTTGCTGGCGTCATTGCGTGACTTTGATTCATTTTTACACAACTTATATATACGTAATCACGAACATGTATCTATCTGTCTATGTAACAGAGTATTGCAAAAAGGGATCCAACTTTACACTAAGCAACCCTCAAATGACATCATTTTTAAGTTGAAACTGTAAAATGTATTAAAATGATTTGGGCAAGCCAAAAGAAAGCAGGATCTGAAACACATACACAAACACATAACTGACCAGATATTAATATTCTGGGGCACGTTACTCAGCGTACATCGCTGCTACACGTAAACTGAGTAGAAATAAATTGTACTTTGGGCAATATTATTAATTCTTAACAAGGTTTTAGATCCATGCATGTTATTTGTAAAGAAAAAAGCCTAAGTGGTAAAAAGATATATTCAGATATAAACAGGCCCTGTGCAGTCAAATGCACTACCGCTGTGCCATAGAAGGAGTCACTTTAAAGGAAAGCTGAAGACATTCTAAACTTATGGTCAATTTAAGTATACTAAATTCCAGGGTTTTTAATTGCCAATAAGTTTAAATAGTGTCACACCAAATAATATAAGCATAAAATAAATAGCGAGAACGCTGGTTGAGTACTAAATCAAATAGTTAAAATTTTCTTTCATTTATTCCTCTGGCGCACCTCTCCTGTCTGGATTCCGCTTTAAACCGTATAAAAACCCTGAACATTTGAGCAGATTGCGAGAAATAAGTGAGGAAATAGATAGAATCTTAATAAAATCTATATGTTAGAAAGAGCAGTTTCGGTTTTTTTTCGCTTAACGTACAACAGACCAATTGTGGCGAAACCGTACGATATAACTGCTAATTACAGTGATAAAAGCGATAATAGGAACTGATAAATTTTATTTGAGAATTTATCTAAAAACTTTTTTCTTGTTTTAAAGTATTACATGCTTTTTTGCATACAATTTAACTGGTACTTTTTATCGGAATGTGAGTAGGAGAAAGTTGGCAAAGCTTCATCATTAACTCGAGTGACAACGGTTCTTGAAAAAAAATTAAATTATGCCAAGACAATCAAACACTCAGTTCATTCAAAAGATAAAGACTAAGGATTTTTTATATTTGATGCAATTTTAATGGATATAATATCGCCACGATTTGTCAGAGTATTTGAGTAGAGGTCACTTAAAGCATCCCGTACAGTTTGAGGAGCGCTAACCCTAAGACATAAACGACTGCGTTAGGACACTGGTATTCACAGTTTTCATTAGAGAACACTCTGACCGCCATTTTTTGGATACTCTGGACTTCTTTTTTGGATTTTGTCTTTTGCGTAAATAAAGTACTTAATTTTTTTATAAGTTGCGTAAGAGGACAATGGACTTGCGAAGCTTTACTTCAGAAATGTCTACAGTCGACAAAACATACCCTATTCCAATAAATGAAAAAAAAAATTGTTCCTTCAAAATATTTTGGTGTGTGTTTTTTTAGTTAATATTAATTTAATTCTGACCATAATTAAATTAATATAAAACAATCCCACACAAAATTATCTTATTATACTTATTGGTCGAGAACGTAAGGTCGTTTGTCATCCACGCCGTCGTTGGGACTGCAGGAGAAGGAGATATTCTTGGAGGAACTTCGAGCCGAAAGGAAAAATGACGGTCGATCACGGTGCACATCACGCTATCTGCACTTTTTCCTTTTACACTGTTTAATTGGTCCTCATTTTAAATCAATCTGCTCGAGAAATTTTCTTAAAAATACAGAGTTCACGTATCGAGTTAATGTATCTTCGTTAACGTATAAGATATTGAAGAATACTACACATTTACAGTAATGGTTCATATTTACGATTAAGTTAAAAACTAAAACTCATAAATTTTTCATTTTCATTTCAATTTAAAAATTTAATTTATCAATCAAACTTTCAGACCAATCTCCTTGGAGAGACATCTAAGAATAGTAATCATAGAACATGGCTCTTCACCTTTCCCATCCAATCCAATTAAATCTATTAATAGCGGTTGTTCTATTTATGGACATAAATAAAGCCCAAACACATTTTTATTTTTAGAAAGTAAAAGAAAGTAAAGTCTTATTTAAAAAGTTAATAAAGCGAAGTTCATCAATCATCACATCAACAGTCTTTAATAGTCCACTGCTGGACATAGGCCTCTCCTTAGAAAGAAGGTTTTGGCCTACTATACCACGCTGGCCAGACGGGTTGGTATAGGGATTTCATCAAGTTTTCCTTCTTTTTGCAGTGCTGGTGTCCTGCGTTGTTTTGCGCCCTTAGTCGCCTCTTACGACACCCAGGGGATGAATTGGGGTAGTGACATTCCGTATTCTTAATCCGTCACTACACGGACACATTGTTACAACATTCATGTAATATATTCGTTAACTAAAAATAAGTACTAAGTAAATGATAAACCATCTAAAATATCTCTACACTCCACTAAAATATTTTCGACATATGTTTGTACACTGAGATATGCACAGAAACATTCAATTCATAAGTGGCTATTTTAATAATTTTATTTAGTCTACGATGTGTTAAATATAACATAAAACATGTAAAAATGTTGATGTTTCATAAACATCTACAGACATTAGAAATGTTATGTGAAAAGCTATATTAAATTAAAGAATCTACAGTGTTCAACATTCTTAATTTTAATGGTCATAAATTGTTCAGAATACAGATAAAAAACATGTCAAATACACAAGCCAACTTTTTCCCGCCAACGCAAAAGTTTCAAAGGAAACTTATCATACGGCCACAATTGATAAACTCACCAGGTACTGACTTCTGCGGTGTTTCAGGCTCCTCGTGGTGGTATCCTTTTAGGAGTTGGAGTGCTAAGTCAGTGCCTACTTCTTCGGACCGTGGACACGGCACGTAAGCGTATTGTTTCTTTGTCGGCGCCGGCAGGGGCGCGACGCGATATTTGCCGCGGTCGGCCATGCGGCGTCTGCCGTGCGGTTGGCTCCACCGCCGGAGTGCCGCAGCCGCGTGCCGGCCTCTTATCGATAAAGCTCCGCGTTTACTACCGGCAAAATATTAATTTGCTGCGTAAACTTTTCGAGTTTGTTCAGTAATAAATCTGTTCGCTAGTTAGCGTTTGACAGCGATATGTCAAAAGTGTTCGATAAATATAAACTAGGAAATTGGTTTCACTAGGTATGAGATTTTTGTAAACATTCTTGAGATATTGTTTTTAGAAATGATTTAATGTGATTAAAAATTAATCTAAGTTTTTGTTTCTTTTTTAATTCCTAAACTTAACGTAAAATTTCTATTCTCAACGTAAATTTATATTATTAAAAAGGAATCCTCATGTACCTGCATTAGTGCGATACAATAACTCATTTTACATGTAGTCAGATTCTTTGTTTTTTAATTCGCGCCTTCCGTGTCCGTCTCTCGCGGTGCGCGCGCACATCTCGATGTCCCTTTGCCCGCACTACGGTCGATAGCACGTGCGCGTTGAGAGCCTGAGGGATACTGCACTATGCGGAAAGTTGCACAATAACAAAGTAAGTTCACTGCTGTAGCTAAGGGTTAACTGTCAAATATATGTGACGTCATTGGTCGTCAGCTGTCAGGCACAATCAACTTTCAGATCGTTTCGTCGGATTGATTTGTTTACCCAAACTTTAAAACAAGATTTTCGGTAAATTAAATGATAGATTTCTGCTTAAAACAAAATTTTAAACTTTTTAAATGTAAATTAAATACTTATCTATTGGGGTTTTCGCATATTTGGATTCGAGACGCTATTTAACAATAAATCTAGTATTTTTTAAATTATTATGTAGAAGAATGGTAGCTATATTGCTGATGCTTGATGCTATATTTAATAAAATAATTACTAGGTTTTCTGTTAAATAGGTAAAATAGGGTCTTTATGCATCGTCTGAAAACAGCTTATTGCAATTTATCCGCACGGATGGCGTAGTGGTTTAAGCGGTCGCCTATTACTATTGAGACCCACTCCCCTCATTTTGTGTGATCCACAAATTGTTGTTCTGAGTCTGGGTATTCTTTGTGTCCATTTCATGAATGTTTGTAAAGTCCACCGCATATTCCTAAAGCGGGAGTTGTCTTAAAAAAAAAAGAAACAACGTAAGTAGAAACCCTAACATCAAACAGAAAATCCAATGATAAATCACTGTTCACTGTGATTTTTATCCACGCCTATCATTATGGCCACGACAACAACTCAAGAAGAATTATTCATGGAGTGTTGGGCCTCCAGTTGTTCATTTTATCAATATTTCTACTTAATTACTATTCAAACTATCTTCTGTTGATTCACTAAAAATAAATTAAGTTGCCTTAACTTTATTGGTTTTTGCTACTGATAAGGGCAGACGAAGTCGCGGGCACGGGACGGCACGGGACGATGTATTGCACATGCATATTGTGCCCGCGAATTAGTGGGTTCGATTCAAAAAAATTATAAGGTTTTTCTGAGAGGATAAATAACTTAAGTTACTCCTTATATAGACAGCTACCTGGTAGTCAAATATTATCAAAATTGGTAGAGCCGTTTTGAAGATTAATCAGAACAGACAGACAGACAAAAAATATTTAAACAAATTTTTAGGCATAGGTATTGTGCAAATAACCGTGTGAACATTAAAAAAACCTATTATTTTGACATTGCAAACAGACTTCAATTTTATTTAGGTATTTGTATAGACAACGAAAACAAAGAACGTTTACAGCAAGTGCCGAGATTTTTTTTAAACTGCAATTCGCAAAAGTAATTTACGTTTAAAATTTCTTTGGTAATTTAACAATACTCATTATTGATATTTTGTCAAAAACATGTTAATGTACATGTTTCTGATATTTTGTCACATAATTTTCTTCCTGCGTCATATTTACTTAAAAAGAGATACAAAGCACTTTTTTTACGGGCCTGTTGGTCTAGTGGTTAGTGACCCTGACTGCTAAGCCGGAGGTCGTGGGTTCGATTTCCACCCAGGACAAATATCGTGTGATGAGCACAGTCATTTGTTCTGTGTCTGGGTGTAATCTATCCATAATATGTATGTACTTAAAAATATATAAGTATGTTTATCAGCACTCTGGTTACCATAGCACAGGCTCTGCCTAGTTTGGGATCAGACGGCCGTGTGTGAGATGTGTGAGGTATATTATATTTTTTTACGTATAAGAACATTAATATAATTACTGTGAAGAACGCACGTGAATACGTAGACTTGGCATAAAACTGTACACGGATGAGGTGTTTTGTATCACTTGTTAGCTTTCAGAAGCTCTCGACAGAAATCGAAAGGGACTCGACGAGTGGATCGTTTTTAAGGTGTGTATAAAACTGTGAACTTTCACTTGATGATACTATTAGGTAGATATTTGAAGATTAGACTAGACTCCATACTGTGCTTGTACGAAGAATGATTAGGGTCCAATGAGGGCCAAAACCATTTCACAATGAAATGAAGGAGTGCGTGAAAGAGGATGTTGAATGTTGGAGTAGAGTGGAGTCCCCAAATTAATCTGAGAAGAGAGTAAGAAGATGGAAGGGTAAGATCTGAAAAAGGGTGAGTAACTTTAATTATCAATAATTATGTGTTTAATTGACTGAGTGATGAATTTACCTAATAATACCTAAAGTTTTTGTAAGAAATATAGTTCTTTAAAACGAGATGATGATTTAGACACTAGACTTTAAATCATATTATAACACCTACTTCCAGATTGGGTACGATGCGTCGTTACCCGTCTTGTGTTGCAAACATGAAGTTAGGGTAAGTTAATCAGTTTGCGTCATGCTGAATATAATTTCAAATGATATTTGCCACCTAAGTGATATAAAACGTTGTGAGGCGTACCACCGCCCTCAACTAACTGCATTGCGCTCAAATCATGACTAGAAACTTTTATTAGCGACTTGTTTTAACAAGTAATTAAAGTGTTTAAAAAAGCAAAGTGCAAGGAAAAGAAACTGTGCCAATAAACGAAAAAACTTAACTTCTGATATACCTAACGTTTTATATCAGAAGTTTCTATTGTCTTTTTTCCAATTTACCTCCACGCCATTTTATTTTATTTTATTTTATATTAAACTCTTTCTTGAACTAAGTATTCTGATTTCTCTGTTTTTTAATATAGGCAATAGAACAGTCAGAACGTAATATTGAAGACTATTCTGTCGTTAAAAATGTAAAAAAGGATCATTACAACGTACATTACACACACATCATATCAGCAGCCTTTAATAGTCCACTTCTGGACATAGGCCTCTTCTTACATGTATCTAATATGTAACTAAATCACGAACCGAATGAACTGAATTCTGATATGGAACGTAATTGAATGGACAAATCGGCATTATTAACATCCTCTTCAAGTAATTGTAGTTGCGAATAATATAAAAAAAAAAAAATAATAAGAAGCTCCCAGCAGTCTACCAAACGTTCGATTTTAATATGATTGTGGCTTGACAGGTTTCAAATTTATAACTTTTTAATTATTATTTTTTAATTTAAAAAAGACAACTCCCGCATTACGAGTATATAGCCTGTTTCGCAGGGGACTTTACAAACATACATGTAATGGACACAAAGAACACCCAGACTCAGAACAACAATTTGTAGATCACACAAAGTGCCGTCCCATGTGGCAATCGAACCCACAACACTCAGCGCTGTAGAGCTAAAGGCAGCTCCCGCAATAGGACTATATCCTGTACACAGGGGACTTTACAAACAAACATGTAACGAACACAAAGAACACCCAGACTCAGAACAACAATTTGTAGATCTCACAAAGTGCCGTCTCATGTGGCAATCGAACCCACAACACTCAGCGCAGTTGAGCGCAGTAGTCAACTACATATAACTACTACATATAGCTCTACTGCGTCTACTGTGTGTCGCTTTGGAAATGACAGACAACTGAACATCAATACCGAGGTTTATTAGAGAGGTCCTGTTAGAGATAAAGGACGAAGAAAGAAACACGGAGGAATAGCCGCAGTCAACGGCAAGGCCCTAGTTAGTACTGCGAAGTAATGCTAACGTGGTCTTGCGGTACTAGGCAGGTATAAGAGTTTTTGGTGACTAAAAATCCCACACTGACGGTTTAAAAACCACTTGATAGTTGTCTTTTTGAACATTTCCTCCTCTCATCCAAAAAAACTGAGTGTCGCTGGGGGTCCCAGTGTCCCCCAATGTGCTGAGAAATTTCAGTACATTCGCTCTAATTGACGGGTCATGTAGCGTGCTTTATTTTAATACTCTCCACAGGTACCCTCGCAAACAGTTTAACTTTTTTTATGAACATTGTCCATATAAATGAAATTCAAAATTTAAAAAGCTTAACAGTTATACAGGGAAGTTCTAGAACACAAAATATTTTATTGCTTTTTATGTCTGAATTGGATCATGAACCAACAAGCGAGTTGCACTATTTATATACAATACGATACCAGATCATTCTATAATTAATTTTTAATTGACTGTACGGATGGCGTAGTGGTTTAAGCGGTTACCTCGCCGCTTCCTACTGCACTGAGTGTTGTGGGTTCGATCCCCGCATGGAAAAACACTTTGTGTGTCAGGGTGTTCTTTGTGTTAATTTCCCCCCAGGCGAAGCCCTCCCTCGATTTTTTTTTTTATTTTATTTCTCAATTCCACTCGAATGTTTCTTCTGTGTACCATGTATGTTTATTTTCACCTTATGTTAACATATTGCTCGTACTTAAACTAAATTCCATATGAAATTTGCAAAACAAAGAATTCAAATTAGCAAATAATAGTTCACCACTTAGGAAGTGAACCCTAGGACCGCTGGACCGCGCTTTTCAGGTCACTTTTAGCCTCGTACAACCAATCTTACCGCACACGTTATCGTCTGCTGTATTTCCGGAACGATACGACTATCAAAACCTCAAGAAAGAGCGTACTCCTTCCTCAAAGGCCGGCAATGCGGTTCTAACTCCTGGGTTGCAGGTGTTCATGGGTGGCGGTAGTCGCTTTCCATCAGGTGACCGCTTGAGGTCGTTTGCCCCTCTTACATAAAAAAAGCAAAAAAAGAACCTTAAATAGAAACAGTTTCTGATAAATTGCAATGATTTAGTCACTTCTAAATCACTTCCAAGTCACACAATATACTTAGGTATTTTTTAAATAAATTGTAATCAGAGATTTTTTTCAGAGAAGTAAAAAAACATTAAGTATCTAATCGTATATCATCCATTCGAATAAATTTTAGCAAACGTTATTCATAAAGTATTTTATAAATGGTCGTCTCTAATATTGTATCGTATCTTTGCTTTTGGACACATTTACAAAAATAATTAAACACATTTGAATCGCGATACAAATTAAAATAACGTACATAATTTAAAAAACTTTATTATTTATCAAAACTAACGTCTTCTTTAAATGCCTTTCTTTTGCCCAATCGTATGCCCAATCGTTTAGTTGACAATCCATTATTCGCAAAAATTAGGTCTCATAACAAAACATCGAATCTTATAATGATGATTTTAATCTGTTAATGATGATACATAATATAATGTTAGTCGACAGTCAACCTACACCAATAGAATACAAATATGAAAAAAAAGCTATCGTCACAAAAGAATCACAATACAATTTTAATTTGTTATTTATTTTGTTGATATTGTTACATATTTGGTCGTAGCTCTAACTATATTATGTGACGAGGTTAGTGATAGCGATGATCCGGCAGGTGGTATGTTCAGCAGATGTGCATTTCAGTAAAAGATTTCTTGTCCTTATACACAGGGCCCCAAGATCCATAGTCCTTTTTCTGCTCCGGTGTTTTTACAGCTTGGTATTGAGGAACCTGCTGGACCGGTTTTCTGGAAACAATGGATTACGTGATATAGAATAGAGCAGGTGCAGTCCGAGAGGGTGGGGAGTTATAAAGGCCTTGACCTAATAAAATCATAAATGTAAGTAGTATACTCAAGAAGGGCAATCGACAAGATATACATTAATCCAGCTTCAACATTGCCAGGATATACGTAAAATACATAGATCTTACGTCATGCCTCCAGATCACATCACATCATGTCATCATATATTTGTTAAATATTTAAATGTTGGTGTACGACTTGAATATTTTTGTTACTTAAATAAACTATTGAGTGTCTGCCAGCATAGTTAATGAATGGTGCTATCTAGATGAAACATAAGTGGATGCTGCTCACTCACTAAACTCAGCTTAAATTGGTTGTTACCTAAAATGTAAGGCCTCCAACCATTGCAGTAATACTTTAAGTAATACTATGAGTGTTACTTGAATTAATACATGGAGTAATACTTACTTCATCGGAGCAGATACTTCCAATGATTTGCAGGCGTAGTTAGCCTTGGTGGCAGTTTTGCACTCGTCTCCTCGGGCCATTACTGCTAGCATCTAATTCTTTCACTTTTATTTTGCCGATGCCGGTGAGAGGGAGATGAACGATGAAATGGGAGAAGGAGTAGCGAGGGATCTACGGCACGTGCTGAATGTGAGTGAGTACCGCGTGTTCCAGACGGTTGCCGGTATTCGCTCGACGACTGCCTTTTCTGGTGCACAGATTTTTAGCGAGCCTGAAATTTAAAAAAAAAAACTTGAAATTGATGCTATTTCAAACCCTAGTCACTTTATCTCGGGTAAAGCTAAAGACCTAAATTTTTGGTGACCATAAGGAAAATATTATAAGTAAGGGTGTATATTCCAAAGTTTCATTCAAATTTAACTTGCGCCTTGATTTTGTTCTAAATAATGCCTCCGAGAGCTTTCTAATAAAAGTAGGTAAAAATAATCATCCTTTACATTTTCTGGACTCAAAAAACAAGAGAAGATAAAAATATACGATAAGATATCAAGCTATGAGAAAATGAACTTCGCAAGCTATCGTGTCATCCATATAAAACGACAGAGGCAGATACTTACGAGTATACCATCATAGAAATAAATGACAATACACTACCTATAATTACTATATATTACACTACATAAAATTCATTGATTTCAACGCTCTGCCTTTTCTGATGCATAGTCATTAACATAAAAGTTACTACTGCAGTAGTAAATACATGTAGTTTTTATCTATTTTAGAATCCATTAGGGCCTCGCCCTCTGCCTCGTGCATCCTTCATAACCTTGGTAGGCAACCTTCTAAAGCTTTGCGTTAAATTGCATATTAATGTGCATAAAATTATCCTCATACATATTATTATTACATGTATTCAAATGTTTAAATACTAGTTAATCCAGATGATGTAATATCTACAATTCTTGTATCGTCCTTGAGCTTCAATGTTTCTATATTTAAGTTTTTTAATTATTTCAAATAAAAAAAATACTAATATCATCACATACGTCATCGTCATACAGATTATTTTTTTACTCACATTAAAATATCCTAGATATAAACTTATTAAATGAAGAAATAGTGAAAAAAAAATTGACAAATTGCCTTGTATAATCGTATAACCTCATTTAAATTAACGTCATCGTATAACGAATCAAATTTTAAACAAGTTCGTTAATGAAATGCTTAAAATTCACAATACCGGAGCGAGCACTCATCGGCCGCGTGATACCAACCTCTGCGGTAAACATTCGTAACCGGTTCGACAAGGTGTACGGCTGTACGACGCATTTATCATTATTATCGACTTTATAGAAAGCATAGAATATGCGTTCGTTAGTTTTTTTGGAACCGTCAGCTAATTTAAAAATTCCCGCTTAAAAAAGCTGAATTCAAACGTCAGTCGGCCAATAAATGAAACAAATAAAAATTACTTAAATTCTTTGTCTTTGTTTTGGTAAATCATGTCAGCATTTGCTGAAAAATGAGTTGTATTTAGCACTTAGCACAAAAAATTAAGATGTGAAGTAATCTAAAGGTTATGTATTTTGCATATTTGCGTAATTTTGTAAATTTGCGTATTGTACAGTATCAATGAACATATGAAGCTGATGCTCTGTATGTTTTAGTAAAAGTTAGCATTTCATGCACGTAAAAAAGTTTGTAACTAAATACAAAGTTGACGTCGAACGTAATGAAGGAAACAAAATAATATTAGTACGTTGACATTTCGTTGTGGGTTTATTCTCGTGTTGTCATTTGTTATAAAATGAATACAAAATATTACAAGCAAAAATTTAAAATATATTTAAAAAAAAAATCAACTAGACTTTTTGCCGACACTTCTTGCTATACTTCGTTCTAACCGGGTGTGCATAGACCCCTCACGCCGTTCTATCCTTATCTACGGCGTCATTTATTGTTATTGAATACATACTAGTTTATTTTTATTGCAACTACTAAAAGATTCATTGTTTGATCATAGTCAAAGATTTCCTCATACCAAAAAAAATATACTGTCAAAAAAATCAATGCAATTTTTATGTAAACACTCTGCAAACACAGTAGTTGCTTACATTGAACATGTAGGTGATGCAGACACGTGTTGCAGGTGTATAATTAAGATCATAGGACAACATACAGCATATGCTTACTAAATTAAGAAATAGTGTATATAATTTACATGAATTTAGTAGTTTTTTTTTCAATTCTAATTTCTGTACTTACTAGTGCTATTGCTGATTACAAAAATAACCTAAATAGCTTGGTGAGATATGCATTAGAAACGCCAATGAAATAAATCTACTCAACCAAATTAAAGCATTTCTGCTCCAGGATATTTTTAGATTCTTCTTCTAGGATAATTTTCTCAGTACTGAAGATTGTTCATGTGATCCCAATGTAATCCTCTAATTTGCATAATGTTAATAATATTATTGTATCTGTTTTTAGAACACTAAATAGTTTTTTTCTAACTAGGAATGTAGTTTCTAGTCTAATTTAAATACTGCACTTTTCGAAATCAAGTGAAACATGTGTCCTTTTCCCAAGAGAGAATTTGTCCGTGTGTTAACCCTTTGACGTAATTATATAGACTGCTAACAAAAAACGTAATTTACATTCATTATCTCCAAGTTTTACATTTATACCACTGTATCAAAGCTCTTAAAACATATACAAGATAATACACGGAATTCAGTTCACTCTCTTCTCGAGTGAATCCACGCAGCCAAAAGCCTTACTAAGATCCACAAAATGTTGCACAAGGAAACGTTGAATTCATTATTTAAACTTTTTGAATCTAGTACCCAATATAATCCTCCCTCTTGTTGAACTGAAATATAATTGCTATTTCTACACTAATTTTTTAAGATACATTTTTATAATGATGGATTTTTAGTATTAGTGACATTTACAGTCAAATGAAAACATTTTGCAATGGGATAGTCGAGATGTTCAAATTTTTGTTACAAGGACACTAAAATAAACGGAGCAATACACTCGGTCACAACTAACAAAATATTTTAGTGCGTAATTTGTACTGGTTTTCTACTGTACTGACACTAATGTAATTTTATCAAATTACTTAAACTATTAAAACATTCAAATATGTCATTTTTTAAATTTCACAATAAACATTATTATAATCCTAGTAAGTAACCTTTAACCACTGAAGTTGTGTTGGTTTCGGTCTAATTTGTGGAACGAATAATGTTTTTATTTTGATTTAGCATTTATCAATTTTATTGAAATTAATTGAAACAGAACTTGAAGTTCTACTTTAATGTCTTTTTAATAATATTATACTTTTAAATTAGACTTATTTTAAATCATTTAAATTTAATTCAAAATCTTGTACTGAATAAAGCAGTTTCTATATATTTAACACGTACATTGCTCATGTCACGTCATAAATAAACATGTTTTATGGTATACAAGATTCAGAAAAGAATACAAACTGGTTCTAAGTTCTGCTTTCTACAATGTTTTACATATGGTACATAAATGTCAAACCAACCAAAAATCTATACATCTGAAGTGATTTAAATAAAAAATTCAGATATCCTAAAATTTCTGTATTATTTTATTAATACAATAGAGGAAACATTGTATTAATAAAATAATAGAAAAATCACAATAGAGATAATGTCTATTTCAAGTCATTTAAATTGGAAAAAATGTTGAGTCATATTGAAGTTAGCAAGAAATGAATTCCCATTTCCAATATTTGATACATCATAATTAAAATTAGTTTTATAAAAGTTTATTTCACGTTTTTCTTTAAATCGAATATTGTGCTGTCGAGTTGTGGTTTAAAATACTCGACATACATGTCAGATTAGCTTTTAAATTCTTTACAACTTTAAGAGATGAGGTTGATAAAAAATACTAACCTTGGTAAAAATTTGTCGGTTATCGCGAACTTTTTCTTCGTTTTTGTCATTGACACCTACGGGTTATTAAATAAAATTGAAAACAATACTCCGAAAAGTAACAATTTTTGCGGCTGATCGTGAGCGGGGCAAAGCGAAACTAGTAACGAACATCAACGCACATGTATTTATGTATCAACTCTTTTATACCGGTTTCCGAACGAGTTACCATCACGAGCTGCACACTGCTTGATTATGTGATCACCTATATATTGTAAAAGATGCCAAATCCTTAGGTATTTTCCATTAAAAAACTAAAACTAGTTTCGATTATGATGCTATAATTACTTCATACTAATTAAAAAAAAACAGAGGTCGTTGACTTATTGAGACATTTCAAACGTTTCTGTAGGTCTCATTGTACAGTGTAAGCCAATTTTTGGAGGCAAATCACAATCTCTTACTTACCATTTCCATCATTTGATCTTTCTAAATTTCGTGCCAATGACCTCAGCAACAAAATATCTTATTGGAAGGAAGTCCACTGTTATAAAACAGTTTATTTTTCATTCAAATCATTACATTAATTTTATCATTAACACTAAACAAAAGCTCGCTTAATTCAAATTTCATTATTCTAGGTCAATAGTAAGTATTCGAAAGGTTTTGATTTACCTGCAAAATGTTAAAATATATTTATATATATTATTTATTTATTATATATAAATATATTTATATATATATTGATATTTACATTTAACATAATGTAGTATATTTTTTTCTGAGTCAAGTAACTGCTGACTACGTCCACGCATTTCGGAGTCTTTTTCTCAGGTCTTGACTGCCAGAACGACAGAGAGATCCACCAACAGCCTTTAACAGTCCACTGCCGGACATAGGCCTCTCCTTAGAAAGGAGGTTTTGTCCATTGAAAGTGAAAATTTGTGTCCATTGATTTCTAGGGTACTGACAATATTTTCACTGTATAATTTAAATATAGGAACCCTTAATTTTGTTTTTAAAAGGTTTTTATTCTAATTTTCTGCATACTTTGTAAATCTACTTTAATTCTACTACAACAAAATTATTTTTTACTCTGATAGATTTGAAAATGTCGTAGGTTATGTAATCATTAAGTGAATATAATTAAGATATCATGATAAAAACTATGTTAATTCACG